ATGGTAAACACCACTACCCAGTAGTACTAGTGTCAGTATTGTTAATTAATATACTTGAAGTTCTAGTGGTCTTATAAAAAAATATACCTTATTAAAAATTAGAAAATTTGGGGTACAGAAAGGAAAGCATCATTCTCATCAAAAATTCACTAATTTATTTTCTCGTGTTGGATATTGTTCTATATTCTGCAAAGTTTTTGTGGGTTTAATGCTATTTAGATGTAGTACATGAGTTTAATTTTAATGCATTATATATTATTTAAATATTATAAGAAATTTTAATTTAAAAATTATTCATGGATCACAGAAGCTAAAGAACTTAATCTTCTTTTAAGACTCCCTTATATTTAGTTGCTGACTCACCTTTATATTATTTTTTACAAATAAGTACTTTTTGGAATTATACATTACAGATTTCCCTTGAAAATCATTTGCTAATTATCAGATTTTGATTTATTGCAAAGAAAATGCTTATAAGACAGCGTTCCCCGAATGATGAGACATAAGTGTGATCTTAAGTACTGCTGAAGGTAGTGATAAAATTTTCAGACTCCCTTAAGATAAGTAGATGTGTTTAGGGAAAAGAATAATTTATCTCTCCACTTGATTGAGGATGGGATTGCTAGAATTGGCCTAGTATGTTGGCTTTTGTAGAATATTTAAGTGCTGAAATAGTTTCACTGCTATGTCACCTTTTCTTCCTGGAAAGGAAAATCATTATATTTTAAAGCTCAAGTGACTTTCAGACTATGAAAAGGGTTACTTGACTTTAAAAATAAGGGCTTAATCAAGAGGTAAATTCTGTTCTTGAGCAAGGAAATCAAATTCAATATTACACAGCAGGCATCTGTGAAACAAAATTTACTTTTTTTGTGATTTTACAAATGTACTGTGCAGACAAAAATAAAATTAGCTTGCCAGAACTTGCATTCTACCGTCTGCCACTAACTTGGCCCTGCTCTCTCGACCCTTTTGTATAGTTCTTCTATCAAGAATCCTCTGCACACCCCCCCACCCCTGCTGCTTTCCCTTCACTACCACCCACTCTTCAGAAGTCAAGTGTGTGATGTGCCAGCCTGTTATCTCAGCAAGCAGGAAGCCGTAGTTCTCTTGGCAGGAGGTACTTGAGTGAGGAGGTGTGTGTGTCCTTTTCTGTGGTAGTTAGCTGTTGCTCAACCAGGAGTTTTGGTGGGTGTGTTTTTCATTTCAAATGAAAATCATCATTTTGCAAGTATATCCAATTTCCTCTAATATTAAAATGTGTGAGGAAAGAAATGGATCAAAATGAAATAATAAACAGAATCAAGAATGCGAAATGGGAATTTAATCATGAAGTATTTGCCACCTTTTAATTTCTTGGCTATGCTGCTAACTGGGCCTTTAAGGTCCCTGCAGTCACCAAGATTGCATATGTCTTTGATATTAGGCTGAATAAATACCACTAGGAAATCAGCATAGGATCTTGAGACACTATTGCTCTTAGATTTTACATTGTCAGCACTTTGACACAAGAGGTCCTTGATATTTCAGTCAATGATCACTTCACGGAGCACTATTCTTTTCACCCTCTCATTAGGTTGTAAACTGTTTTCTAGCTCAGGCAGGCAATAATTGATCTCAATAATGTGGCTATGTACTTAACCACTGAGCAGCAAGCAGATGTGAGGGTATATTTCCAGTAAAGCACTTGAATACTGCCCATGGAGAAGTGAGTCTAATGTCAGTTCCACCCTTGATGTAACAAGTGCTCTTTGGTGAGCTGTACTCTTTTAATGAGATTATTTGTAAGCATAATGGGGAGTATGGAAATGTGCCAATTGAAGAGTCGATGGGAGAGGAATAATAGGGATAATGAGTGATGGGGAGAGGAGAAATAGGTAGACCAAGGAAAACAGGCACATTGAGGACTCTGTAAAATCAAGTGAGTGAATTATAGCTGTAAGAGGATGTCTACTGGTAATTTTGGATGTGTTTTATACTCAAGAGTGTGAAAGTCACTTTATGTATTCTATTTTTGATAATTAAGAGTAATTTATAGGTTTTCCACCTTTCCTCTTTTAAGTGCCAAGCCTTCAGATCCTTTCTCTACCATCATGCTGTAGAGAAGAGGCAAATGAAAAAGCTCTCAATAAGCCTGCTATAATTCTGGAGTTATAGCCATCAAATAAATGTTTTCTAAAATGACTCTGCTGTATTTGTTTCTTAATTAACATATTTCTTTTTAGCTGAGATACTGAAGTTCATGCCTGACTATACTTTATGTATTTCCTTTATGAAAATATAAGGCAGAGTCTCAATTGAAGAAAACCAGAGAACGGATATCTCAAATAATGATTTTACAGTATCTATATTTATCTTCCTATTTCTTGGATGTTAATGCATATAAATTATTGAGAAACATTTATTGGCTCATCTCCTCAGCACTTTTATTTTTTTCAGATGGCTTTCCTTTAATTGTTTGTCAAAGTATGATCCCCTTACCTTTCTAGAAGTCCAAATGATGGTATGTGTTAAGCTGTTGCTAATTAATATAGTTTTAAATCTTGAACAGTGGATGGAGGAAGAGATTAAATTAATAACAGATACCGGGAATAAATCCTGGTGGTTGACATCTGTCAAGAAAAAATGGAAAACATGTCTAGGATAGAGAAGCCATGCCAATATGAAGGGAGATTTTGTTGGTTTTGTCTGTTTTTATACTTCTCAGAATATTTGGTAGTTTTGATAATACAGGATGTTAAAAGTTAAAATCCTGCTTCTGATATTACTTTAGAATTCTAGATGAATGCCTTAAACTTCCTGAAATCAGTTTTCTTTTTTTAAAAATGAAAATTATACTTATTTCATGAATTTGTGACTCACACCTAAAATGAAGTACTGTCTTCTTTGATTTGTATCCCAAGTGTCTTTCCATACATTTGGTTCTGCCTTCTCTCTGACCCATCATTCAATGACCAACAGGAAATCCCCCACAATAATTAGCTGACAAATGCCATCATCGTTACCTGTGCCCTGTGCTCTCACTGAGTTTGAGGCTCAGTTTATAACAATACGTTGCCATAAACATGTAAAATAGGACTATATGGAAGGATCAGCCAACACAGACAAACCTATATGCACACACAGAGACACACATGAACACACAGACACACAGACACACAAACACACTTTTCTATATGTCTTTATCAAGTAAAATGTCTTTTACTTGAGAGAAAGAATACCTAACATCTTTTTAAAGGCTTAAGAGTATAATGACAAAAGTAGGGCAATACAGAGTCAGTGGAGTGAATTTTACTGTAGGCTTCACAAGATAATCGTGAAGTAAGGCCAGTCCCCATATGTAAATGACTTTTGTGTTTCACTTTGGAGGGCGTTGTACTTTTGCTGTTGTTATGTAATCAAGTATAAAGGCAGAATTCCTCAAAGGTAGTTACAGTTTTCATAGGAAAGACAATTACATAAAATAACACTTTAGTTTCTTATGTTAATAGTTCCAAATTGAAACTATAGACATTTAGAGAAACTGCATTAATAATTAGAGAATTTTCACAGGGGGCACCTGGGTGGCTCAGTGGGTTAAAGCCTCTGCCTTCAGCTCGGGTCATGATCCCAGGGTTCTGGGATCGAGCCCCACATTGGGCTCTCTGCTCCACGGGGAGCCTGCTTCCTCCTCTCTCTCTTTCTGCCTGCCTCTCTGCCTACTTGAGATCTCTGTCTGTCAAATAAATAAAATAAAAAATCTTCAAAAAAAATAATTAGAGAATTTTCATAAATATACCCCTTTAAAATATCCTTATAGGGGTGCCTGGTGGCTCAGTCAGTTAAGTGTCTGCCTTTGGCTGAGGTCATGATCTCAGAGTCCTGGGATTGAGCCCCACATCAGACTCCCTGCTAGCAGGGAGTCTGCTTCTCCTTCTCCCTCTGCCCCACCCCCACCTGCCCCCATTCCCTGCTCTTGCTCTCTCTCTCACTTGCTATTTCTCTCTCTCAAGTAAATAAATAAAAATAAATAAGTTATCCTTATATTCATGTTTGAAATGCTTTTCTCTAATTAGTTGCTTTTGAATAATCCCATTAAATATATGCTGTAGTTTCATTAGAAATCTTAATAATAATCTGTGTAGATCACGTTATATAAAGTTAATTTGTCCTATTTGATGCTGAGTTGAGATCAAAGTTTAACTATTTTTTTTTCTCATCTTTGTTTTTCAATATGCAGCCCTCTAAAAGAATGTATGCCACCTATACGCACTCATTTTCTTCAAGATAAACTCAAATAGCCAATCAGTATTTTAGCATAACATTATAAACTTTTTTTAACTAATAAAATTTATCAGAACACATGACACCCTTATGCATAAAATATTTCCCATATTTTATTTTTTTAAGATTTTATGTATTTATTTGAGAAAGAGAGATCAAACACAAGCAGGGGGAGTATTTGAGGGAGAAGGAGAAGCATGCTCCCCTCTGAGCAGGGAGCCTGATGTGGGGCTCGATCCCAGGACACTGGGATCATGACCTGAGCCAAAGGCAGATGCTTCATGGACTGAACTACCCAGGCTCCCCAGTACTTCCCATATTTTAAAGGTTAATTTGACATGTTTCATCACAGGTTCAGTTTTAAAGCCTAAAAAAAATAGTTTGTAAATAAAAATATAAACTTTTACCTTTTGAAATAGTGCAAAATACAATTGAGCATGGAATGCAATGATAGTATCATTTTTCTATCTATCCACATAACATTTAATCTTTAAAAGTACTTGAATCTGTGCATAATAGCTTTAATTGAAAGGGATAAAGCATATTATTAAATGTGGCAGACTAATTCATCATATGCATTTATAACAAGTACTTCAGATCATTTCATTCTTTCACCTGTCCAAAATCAACATTTTCTGTAAGTTCATTAGACTTCCTTCCATATTATTTTTTTGAACAGGCACTGTGAGCTTAAATCTCAAAGACAAAAGAAATTATTGTCATGAAAGGAAAAGAGAGTGCTCACTTCGGCAGCACTGAAGCTAAAATTATGAACAATACGGAGAAGATTAGCACAGCCCTTGCACAAGGATGTCACCAAATTCATGAAGTGTTTCATACTTTAAAAAAGAAAAAGTAGAGGGATATTTGAGCTACATCAGGTAAATTTTAAAAGCCCTTTTGATAAAATAACCCCTCAAATTTTGTAAATTTGTCATTCTCACTTAAATTTACATAAAAATATCAGGTCTTAATACTGAAAATGTTTTTTCATATTAAAAATGCCCTTTAAAACTTTTTAAATGATATTTGGATCCTTAGATATTTTCCAAAGAATATAAAGATAAAAGCACCTGTGTCTTTTCTTCCATTGGCATGTTAACTCAAATTGTTATAAACTTTCCTATTTAATTAAATCATTCCACAAAATTCCCATAAAATCCATTATTTGAGTTGTGGAAAAAAATAAAATTTTATTGATGAGCAAGAATTGGCATATTTTCAATGACTGAATATGATAACAAATGAGACCATCAGACTCGTTTGTTGTGAAATGTCATCATCCACCTTCATATTCCTATTTATTCCCCTTACTATTGCCTTTTGGTAAATGTGGGAGGACAGTCCCTACATATGGAAACTCCTGGTGTAATTTGAAAATGACTACTTTATAACTATATAGAATCATTTCATCAAATAAAATGACACAAGTATTTTTTAAATGTAGTCAAAATGTCATATCTAAAATGCTTCTGTTTTTGTTCTTTTCATTCATTTATTCAGAAATGTTATTTTCCTGAGCACTCTGATAGATGCTTGGCATATAATCAGTAAAACAAAACAGAAGACCCATATTTTGGAACATCTGGCCACCCATATATGCTCACTCTGTCATAATAGAAGTAGGAAAATTGGTGAAATAAGCATCTTTTCCTGACTTATTTATAACAATAACAATATAAATTTCACAAGAGTAAAGCTACTTTATATATATATATATACATATATATATATATATATATATATGTATATATATATATATAAATGAAATATTTAACTTCCCTTCTCAGTACATGTTAAGGGTTAAAAACAAGTGCTTTATATCAGTATAATTAACTATTCATCAAAGATTTGTTCATGGAAATAATACAATAATTTGAAAATTTATTTTTGATAAACTGTTAATTTATTTCTGCTTTTGATTTTCACAAAACAAAGTTGTTAACCTAACCTAATCTAATACTCACCATTAACATTACTCTTACTGTGGGAATTTTTTTTTAAAGGTTCTTTTTCAACGCAAAGAAAAGAGCTAGATGTTTCAGATCATCATGAAATAAATTAGATAATAAAAATTTGTATCTATTCCGAAGTGCTTAATGTTGAGGTATTTATCTTTGAACCTGAACCAAAATTCAAGGCAAACTATGCCACATGTTTATTTTCTTAAACCACTTGCTAAATATTTTTTCAATTGGTGTTTAAAAACTATTCAAAACTGAACAAATATGTCATGAGTGTTATTAAAAAAAAACACACACTTCAGCCATCACAGCAAAATCTTCACACACACACACACACACACACACACACATACACACAGACACAGGGGTAGGGAACATGAATATTCTTCTATGTCTGAATAAGCTTTCAGACATGCAATATCAACACTAAGAAATAATAAAACCTGTTCTTCATTCCTTGTACAGTATGTATCTAAAAAAATTGACATGGAAAACTGAGTATTTAGCCAAGTTATTCTTTCAACAGCCTAAGCCTGCCTAGATAACTCAGGCTCTAAAGACCTCTCTTCAATAACAGATGGCCAGTGATAGCTTGAGCAAAACAGTTAAATTCCCCCAAGCAGTGCTTTTGGCTTAGCCACTATATAAACTGTCTCAGTTTCTTTGGAATAAAAATTTACCCAATGTAATTTTGTAAGTTTATAGTAAAGTGGGTTTCCTGAGAGTACTGTATTTTTCTGATTGGATCCAGACCCAAAAATCAGATATAGCTTTAGGGATGTTGTATATATAATCCTAGTTCTCTGTTCTTCAATTACCACCCAGAAGTTTTCTGACTTTATTCATTTGGTGAGTAATCAGTTAAAAAACTGGTCAAATTTTATAACTTTCTGGTAACTTCTTTCTGGATTCCTGTGTGAAAGAAAAGAGAATTATTATAATCAATTTTCTAAGGTTATGATTTTTCCCTAAGCAATATTAATTAAAAAGTGAGTATAGTCCAGGGCTCCTGGGTGGCTCAGTCAATTAAGCATCTGACTCTTGGTTTTGTCTCAGGTCATGATCTCAGGGTCCTGAGATGCAGCCCCATGTCAGGCTCTGTGCTGAACATGGAGCTTACTCGGGATTCTCTCTCTCCCTTTCCTTCAGCTCCTCTCTGCCATCGTTTAAAAAATAAATAAATAAATAAATAAAAGAAAAGAATAAAGGAAATGTAATTCACCCTCAAGCCCTCAGGAATCAATTACAAGTATGAGGGAGTTCAAATGAGAGCCAAGAATAAATGCAAAAGCTAAAGTATTTGGGTCATATAGAAAGGCCAAGAGTTAAGTTCTAGGATATTTAAGGTTTAAGAACAACTGCTGGAATACTCAGAAACCATCTTTTCTCTTTAAACATCACATGTAATTTAGACATAATTCATGAAAAATTTTAGCATTGTCCTTAATATTGGAAATATTCATATTTTTCCTGTTAAATGACTTTTAAATTTTAAATTATGAGTACTACAAAGTATGATAGTATAACTCATTCCATTCTATGTAACAATTTCAAATTGTTAAATAGAAGAGGTCAAGAAAGTCAATTTGTGAAATGAAATACCCGGGAGATTGCAAAGATATATATGTGCCATATAGGTTTTAGCCTTTTATAATATATTTAGTAAAGCTAGTTATCAATATTTTTTATTTTGTTGTATTCCAGTCAAATGCTATAGATAAAAATATAAGTTTCTCCCAAAATTCTACTAAAATTTTTAAGTACCTGATAATTTAAAATACATTTTATGTTGGAAATGGAATTAACACAACTTTCCAGAGAAATATTTCTTAATTCCTCTGAATGGATATGTATAAGAGCACTGAATGATGTGAGTGTATTAGAATCACATAAGGCATCTCAAGATGTCATTTATAGATATCTCTCTGCCCACAGCAGTCTGTCGTTCTTCCCTAGGCAATCAGAGTTTATCAAACTTATATGGATCCAGGAGCTAAAAAGGTCCTTTGTTTAGGACAGATTTTAGTTTCTCTTATTTTCCATGTATCACATAATACCAAAGAATATTGTCCTTGAGAACATGTAAAGATTTTTCATGATTTCACTACACAACTTACAGTGCCAAAATTTTTCCTCAGTGCTATTTCAGCCTTATTTTATTTCTTGGAAACGCAGTTACCTTTTGTTTGAATCAGTACTTCAACAATAAGCAAATGCTATGGTTCTAAATTTAGCCATGAGTCGAAGAAAATAAAATGAAAATGAGGATAGTTTAAAGACTTGACAAACTACAGATACTAAATAAATAATAATTTGATAATAAGCAATGTATGCATAATAAGCACAAATATATGCATGTATATATATATGTATATATTCAGAAAAATAAGGCAAAATGCCATTTATATGGAATATCTGGTTGCCTACTGTGCACATGTATACTCTGTTATGTTAGAAAATGGAAAATCAGTAAAATGGCTATTTTTCCTGATTCCTTATCAAAATAATAATATAATTTGAATATATGTATATATACAATCCATATTCTATATCAAGATTCTAGATTTTGAAGAAGAAAAAAAGTCCATTTTTGCTTAGGTTACTAATGCTATCGTCATTTTATCTGTGTTGAAATAGATATTTGTACTTCTCCACATTATTTATGCAATAATATGAATTTTCCAATAATCTTGGTAATACTATCATACTGCTTGTGGGAGAGATTCAGGTGACTTGGGATTGACTCCTAGTTCAGATATTTTCTATACAGGCGTAGACAAATCAGTTGTTATCTTTAAGTATCAGGTTTAATTCTTATCATTGGGCAAAGCATAAAGAAAAATGTGATGGGGAATAAAAGAGCAGAGACCAAGACCAGCAGAAATTGAATGAGGAAAGGGGAAACAATGTGCCTATATTTATACCTGGTAATATCTGAAGATAGTTGTGGACAAGACAAGGTAAACTGGTGGTAGGAGAAGACATTTCCATTCTGCTCTTTAACTGAATTAACCAATTATAATGATTGATTCTATGTGAATGGGCCAAAGGGTGCCCGGATAGCAGGTAAAACATTTCTGGATGTATTGTGGTGGTGTTTCTGGAAGATGTCAGCATTTCAATCAATAGACTAAGTAATGAAAATCACTCCTCCAATGTAGTAGGCATCATCCAATCCCTTGGGTGTCTGAATTGAATAAAAATGTGAAGGAATGGTGAATTCTCTCTTTCTCTCCTTGAGCTGGGACATCTGTCTTCTCCTACCCTTGGACATTGAAATTTCTGGTTCTTGTACCTTCAGAATTGAACTGAATTATACCAAAAGTTTTTCCTGGTTCTACAGCTTGTAGATGGCATGTTGTGGCATATCTTGGCCTCCATAATTTCATGAGCAAATTGCTCATGAAATACATTGCTCAATGTAATACATTTCCTTTTGTATCTCTTTATGCAACCTAATGGTCTGTTTCTCTGGAAAACCCTAAAACAAAACAAAACAAAACAAACAAACAAGCATACAAAAAAACACAAATTGGTCCTGAGAAGCAGAGTGCTGCTGTAACATATACCTAAAAATGTGGAAGTGGTTTTAGAACTGGATAAAAGGTAGAGGCTAGAAGAGTTTGGAGGTACATGCTGTGTACCAAGATTGTTGGGAATGGACTGTTAAAAGCAATTCTGGTAAGAGCACAGAAGAAGAAGAAAGCTATAGAGAAAACCTCCATCTTATTGGAGTATGCCTAAGTAGTTGTGAATTATGGACTGTAAAGGCTATTTTGATGAGGTTACAAATAGAAATGAGGAACATGTTTTTGGAAATTAGAGGACAGGTGAGTCTTTGTTATGAAATGGCAAAGCATTTGGCTGAATTGGACTCATA